ATATTTATTATTTTAATATATCAAACTTGGAAATAAAAGCAAAATAAAATGATCAGTCAACCTTGTCTGGGCGGTTTTTATTTTTAACATTTAAATAAAATGGATTTTTAGCCCCAGTATACTAAAACCATAACATCAAAATGTTAAAAACCTCTACGTCAAAATCCATAGACTCCAGCCTGCTCTTCAGTAACTCAAGACAGGAGTTCAGCAGCTTCCATCCAGTTGGGTCTTTAGCACTGGAAAACACAAAATTACTCAATTACTGCATCTACATACCATACCACTTTATTTCTAAAGCACTTAAAAAACAACATAGCAGCTAACCGAAGTGCTGTACAAAATTATAAAACAAAACACCAAAAATAAAACAATACAATTAAAAAAAAATCACAGATACCAGAAAAGAGTACAATATTAAGACACGGATGCTAAATCACTCTGGGTTAAAAGCCAAAGAGAAAAAAATGTGTTTTTAAATGAGTTTTAAAAACAGAAAGAGTTGGGGCCTGCCTGACCTTCAGCGGCAGCTCAGTCCACAATTTAGGAGCCAGAGCTGCAAAGGCTCTGCCTCCTCTGGATTTGTAAATGGTATTTGGGACTAYTAGAAGGTTCTGGTCAGATGATCTAAGAACACGTGATGGTATATAAGGGTGAAGCAGTTCARACAAATAAGAAGAGCTAAGACCATTAARAGAYTTAAAAACAAACAAAAGAACTTTAAAATGGATTCGAAACGGAACAGGTAGCCAWTGAAGAGATGCCAAAACTGGAGTTATATGCTCTCGTATACCTACGCCAGTTAAAAATCGTGCAGMAGCATTTTGCACCAGCTGCAAACGTAAGAGAGAAGCCTGGCTAATTCCAATCAAAGAGTTACAGTAATCCAGACGTGAGGTGATAAAAGCATGGATCACTGTCTCTAAATGTTGACTAGAAAGGAAAGGCTTGGTTTTTGACAAACGTCTCATCTGAAAAAAGGAAGAACTAACCACAGAGTTGACCTGACTGTCAAGTTTTAGGCTAGGGTCCATTTTCACCCYCAAGTTTGTTGTTTTCTAAAAGGGGCTAAAAAGGAATAATCAAAGGTGGGAACACAGCTACGACCACCAGACTTAAGAATCATAAACTTGGTCTTTTTATCATTAAAATGTAGGAAATTCAGAGCATCCAACTCCTGACGTAAATCCATGTTTAAAATAGGGCTGTCAAATGATTAAATTTTTTTAATCTATTAATTCCAAGGTAGTTGTGAATTAATCACGATTAATCACGAATAATCTTAAACGTAATATAAAACTTTATTGCATATTGGTAAAATTACTTGAGTTATTACTACTACATACTACTACTATTGTACTACAT